GCCTTGAGAATTGGATCACACAGTAAACGAGACCATAGTCCTTTGTTCTCATTTTTAAATGTATTCATTCCAGATAGTTGACTTTTAGGTGAAAAGAAGGTCAGGGAAGACCTTAGGGCATGGGAACAGTTAACTTCTGTTGGTTGACTGATTCTGTGGCCGTCATGGGACGATGACGTTTGGATATTTACAAATATGGCTTTCATAAAGAAAAACAGGTGACTGTTGTGTGATAAAATACATGATAGGATGTGTGTGTGTGTTGAAGATGTTTAGGAGGAATGAGTATGTGTCCTGTCAAAGAGTCCTCTGTCATGACTCCAAATCATTGACACACACACACACACACACACACACACACACACACACACACACACACACACACACACACACACACACACACACACACACACACACACACACACACACACACACACACACACACACACACACACACACACACACACACACACACACACACACACACAGGTCCCGCCCAGAAGTGGAACCGACCAATGGAACACTGCCCCTCCACTGACTCTCCAGCAATTGAGTCTTTTGGCCCAGCTAGGAGAGGAAATGAGCAGTATTTATGATAATGTATTATATTAAAAGGTGGTGCTTGGTTCTGAAATGAAGGAATTGAGTCCTGCACGTTGGGACAGATGTCACATTTGACTGCTAGTGTTTCAATCAATATTGTGAAATTAAGAATAATTTAAAAACATTCCATGACTTATTACACGTAGACCACAGAAAAAAGTTACGAATGTAACACTTTTATTCAAATTCTTTGAGAAGGTTTTGAGTAGTGACAACAAAACACAAATGTTGTTACCCTTTATAACCGTAACTGAGCAATTTCAATTGAAGTGTTCTGTTTGGGTTCAATTCTGCACAATTGTATGTAATTCAATGTGTGCCATAGGGTATCGCTGTCCTTTTACCTAGGGCAAAGGTATTTAAGGGATGCGTTGTCACAGGAATGGGTGTGTCCGACCTCGGAAGGGCAAATGGTAGCTGTTGTTCTTGCCACCCAAAAATAACAAGGTAATTATTATGACCTCGTCTTTTAAATGTCATCTTACGGCTTTGACTGTTACTCTCTTATTCACAACATACGCTTACATACCGTTGCCCTCTTCTTCTGTCCTTCCTGGTAGATCATTTGTCGATACTGTGGGCACCAAAAACTAAATCCCATTCATGTCTATTATAATATGATAATTCATATTATATATTGTGGTGGAGGCTGTGTTCCTTGATAGAACAGAGCGTTTGACTCAGGCTTAAACGTGATTATTTAACATTAGAACACACTGAAAAGAGTATAAACAGACCATACGGCTGTGGGAAATGTTGGACAAGCTGATAATAAAACATTACAAAGTCAATTGATCATACACACAGCTTTGCTTATCCAAAACTAAAAATCAGGTCTGACTCAGCAGTAATTAGGTGTTAGAAAGTGTTACTTTGAATTAGTAAACATTGAACTCATACACTGGATAGATTCCATGATGTTGTTTTGTCTTTGAAAGATTATTAAATCTCAAAACAGTTGAAAAAGGTCAATTACATTTACATTACAAGCGAAAAATCAATACCATGGTGAACATCTATATGATTAAGAAAAAACATAATAGAATATTGTTTGTATGAAATATTCAATGTGATCAGTTGGGTTGAGACACTCTTTTTCACATACCAAGCCGATACACAAGATGCCAACATGTTCAAATGAGAGCTGTGCTTTATACAGTATGTGAATTGTCGGAACAAAGTTAGATAGTAGAAAAATAATTGTAACAAATCCTATGACAGAGAGGAGGCAGCCTCCTCTACTCTGGTCTGGGTGTTCTGATGGCTAAGGCTTTCCATGGCAGACAGGATGGAGCAGAGGAGGGGCTGTGTGCGGCTCTCAAGAGCTCCACAGTGACTCTTTATCAGCTGCAGGGTGTCTCTTAAAACTGGAAACAGAGAGACTTAGTGAGTGATGAAATGCTGAGAGGAACTGTGAGTTCAGAGTGTTGCATGGTACCAGCTGACAGACGTACATGGAGACATGTGGTCAATGCAGCGGAGGAGGAGCTGACCGCTGAGCAGCACGCTGGAGGTCAGGGGCTGCTGGACCCTCACTGCTCTCTGACACACACACACACACACACACACACACACACACACACACACACACACACACACACACACACACACACACACACACACACACACACACACACACACACACACACACACACACACACACACACACACACACACAAAGTGCAAAGAGCCGAGTCAAAGAGAAGATCTGTTCTTCCCCACAGATATTTGCCCACCTATGCAGACAGCCACAGAAGTGTGCATTGTGGAGCAGGCTCACCTGGTACTCAGCAAGAGAGGACTTGACACCGGCAATATCCACAGTGGGCACAATCTGCAGCTCCATCTGCTCTGACACTGCATGAAATGCATGCAGCTGCTGAATGAGCTGCTCCAGCTGCGAGCAGAAGACCTGAAACATAAAAAATGGATAAACACAATTCGATTTCGAAGCCACTCAAAACACTGAATCCAAACACCAAGGCAATGTTTTCAGGAATACTGCAGTGGCACTCTTAAACAGCCAGTGTCTCTACCTGGATGTGCTGCATCAGGGAGTCACTGTGCTGCTCCTGCTTCTCCTGGCTGCCAGGCAGCCCCCTGATACTGGGTGGACAGGCTCCCCCACCCCCCCCTGCAGGCTCTAAC